CCCCCTCCCCCCCCGGAGCAGCCATGGGAGCGTCCGTGGGCTGAGCCCCCCCAGGTACGGCCGGGGCTGGGGCACTGGGGGGCGCTGGGGGGCACTGGGATGTACTGGGAAGCACTGGGAGGTGCTGGGCCATACTGGGAGGTGCTGGGCCATACTGGGCTGTACTGGGAGGTACTGGGAGGCACTGGGCTGTACTGGGGTGTACTGGGAGGCACTGGGATGTACTGGGATGTACTGGGAGGTGCTGGGAGGTACTGGACTGTACTGGGCTGTACTGGGCTGTACTGGGATGTACTGGGAGGTGCTGGGAGGTGCTGGGAGGCGCTGGGAGGCACTGGCCTGCACTGGGCCATACTGGGCTGTACTGGGAGGTGCTGGGAGGCACTGGGTCATACTGAGAGGTACTGGGATGTACTGGGTCTGAACTGGTCTGCACTGGGCCATGCTGGGAGGCAGTGGGATGTACTGGGAGGCACTGGGTCTGTGTTGGTCCGCATTCGGCCATACTGGGCTGTACTGGGCTGGGCTGGGCTGTACTGGGCCGTACTGAGATGTACTGGGCTGGGCTGGGCCCTACTGGGCTGTACTGGGATGCATTGGTCTCTGCTGTGTCTTTATCAGTCTGGTGTGGTTGTGCTGGGCTGTGCTGGGCCATACTGGGTTGTACTGGGCTGTACTGGGCCATGCTGGGCTGTGCTGGTCTGTACTGGGCTGTGCTGGGCCATACTGGGCCGTACTGAGATGTACTGGGCTGTACTGGGCTGTACTGGGCCGTACTGGGCCATACTGGAATGTACTGGGCTGTGCTGGGCCACACTGGGCCGTACTGGGCCGTACTGGGCCATGCTAGGATGTACTGGACTGTACTGGGCCGTACTGCGCTGTGCTGGGCTGTACTGGGCCGTACTGGGCTGTACTGGGCTATGCTAGGATGTACTGGACTGTACTGGGCCGTACTGCACTGTGCTGGGCTGTACTGGGCCGTACTGGGCTGTACTGGGCTGTGCCAATCTTTACTGGGTGATGCTGTACCCTACTGGTACAGACTGGGTCTGTACTGGGCTGTGCTCTTCTCTACTGGTCCACACTGGTGCATACTGGTCTGTACTGGGCCGTATTGGTCTGTACTGGGCTGTGCTGGGCCATGCTAGGATGTACTGGGCTGTGCTGGGCCACACTGGGCTGTGCTGGGCCATACTGGTCTGTACTGGGCCGTACTGGGCCGTACTGGGATGTACTGGGATGTACTGGGCTGTGCTGGGCCATGCTAGGATGCACTGGGCCGTACTGGACTGTACTGGGCCATACTGGGCCGTACTGGGCTGTGCCAATCTTTACTGGGTGATGCTGTACCCTACTGGTACAGACTGGGTCTGTACTGGGCTGTACTCTTCTCTACTGGTCCACACTGGTGCATACTGGTCTGTACTGGGCCGTACTGGGATGTACTGGGCCATACTGGTCTGTACTGGGCTGTGCTGGGCCATGCTAGGATGCACTGGGCCGTACTGGGCCATACTGGGCCGTACTGGGCTGTACTGGGATGTACTGGGCCATACTGGTCTGTGCTGGGCCATACTGGTCTGTACTGGGCCGTACTGGGCCATACTGGTCTGTACTGGGCTGTGCTGGGCCATGCTAGGATGCACTGGGCCGTACTGGGCCGTACTGGGATGTACTGGGCCATACTGGGATGTACTGGGCTGTGCTGGGCCATGCTGAGATGTACCGGGTTATACTGGTCTGTAGTGGGTCATACTGGCTGTACACGGCCATACCGGGCCATACTGGGCCGTACTGGTCTGTACTGGTCCGTATTGGGCCATACTGGTTCGTGTTGGCCTGTACTGGCCCATACTGGTCTGTACCGGTCCATACTGGTCTGTACTGGTCCGTACTGGCCGGTCCCTGTTCCCGCAGGCCCCACGGCAACGCCTGGACAGGACCAGCATGGAGCCCTGAGAGGAGGTACTGGGACAACTGGGACAACTGGGATCACTGGGGTCTAACTGGGACAACTGGGATCTAACTGGGATCACTGGGATCTAACTGGGACAACTGGGGTCTAAGTGGGATCACTGGGGTCTAACTGGGACAACTGGGAGAACTGGGATCACCGGGGTCTAACTGGGACAACTGGGGTCTAGCTGGGACAACTGGGACAACTGGGATCTAACTGGGATCACTGGGATCGAACTGGGATCCCACTCGGATCTAACTGGGATCACTGGGATTTGGTGCTGTGGGATCTCGTGGGACACTCCGGATCTGCTGGGATCCACTGGGATCATCTGGGATCAGTTGGGATCTCCTGGACCCTGCTGGGCCCTGCTGGGATCTGTTGGGATCCTCTGGGATCCACTGGGATCTGCTGGGCTGTGCTGGGATCCGCTGGGATCTGTTGGGACCCTCTGGGCCCTGCTGGGATCTCCTGGGACCTGCTGGGCTGTGCTGGGCAGTGCGGGGATCTGCTGGGGTCCGCTGGGATCCACTGGGATCAGCTGGGATCTGCCGGGATACTCTGGGACCCTCTGGGCCCTTCTGGGATCTCCTGGGACCTGCTGGGCTGTGCTGGGCAGTGCTGGGATCCGCTGGGCTTCACTGGGCTCTGCTGGGATCTCCTGGGACCTGCTGGGCTCTGCTGGGCTGTGCTGGGATCCGCTGGGATCTGCTGGGATACTCTGGGCTGTGCTGGGATCAGCTGGGATCCCCTTGGGTCTGCTGGGATCCACTGGGATCCACTGGGCTCCGCTGGGCTCTGCTGGGATCTCCTTGGGTCTGCCGGGATACTCTGGGACCCTCTGGGCCCTTCTGGGATCTCCTGGGACCTGCTGGGCTGTGCTGGGCAGTGCTGGGATCTGCTGGGGTCCGCTGGGGTCCACTGGGATCAGCTGGGCTGTGCTGGGATCAGCTGGGATCCCCTTGGGTCTGCCGGGATCCACTGGGATCTGCCGGGATCCACTGGGATCTGCTGGGATCCACTGGGATCCGCTGGGCTGTGCTGGGATCAGCTGGGACCCGCTGGGCAGTGCTGGGATCTCCTGGGATCCGCTGGGCTTCACTGGGCTCTGCTGGGATCCCCTTGGGTCTGCCGGGATCCGCTGGGCTCCCCCGTGCCCCCCGTGACCGCGCTCTCGGCCCCGCGCTCGGGACCCGCTGGGCTGTGCTGGGCTCTGCTGGGATCCCCTTGGGTCTGCCGGGATCCTCTGGGCTCCCCCGTGCCCCCCGTGCCCCCCGTGACCGCGCTCTCGGCCCCGCGCTCTCCGCAGGCGCGGCCGCGGGGATGGCGAAGCTGCTGGTGCCGCTGGTGATGCTGGGCGCCGTGTCCGGGCCGGGGGTCCCGGCGTCGCCGCCGTCGCCGGGGTGGGTTTGCGCGGGGGGGGGGGGGGGGGGGGGGGGGGGGGGCCCCCCCCCCCCCCCCCGACTGGCCCTCGCCCCCTCCCCAGGTTGCTGCCCCCCTCCAGCCGCACCTTCGTGCTGCGGGACTTGGCCCCGGGGCGGCAGTACGAGCTGTGCGTGTCCGCGCTGCGCGTGGCCGGGGACCCCCCCGCCGCCCCCCGCCCGCTCGGCTGCGTCTCGTTCGCCACGGCCGCCGCTCCGCCGGGCTGCGCCGCGCCGCCGCGGCCCCACTTCCTGGGGGGCACCGTCATCATCGTCATCGGCGCCGCCATCGCCGCCTCCGTGCTCGTCTTCATCCTCATCCTCACGGCGCGCTGGAAGGCGGCGGGGGCGCGGCGCCCCCCGCCCGCGCTCACCAGCGTCTGCTCCCAGACCAACGGCGGCCCCCGGCCCGCCGAGACCCCCGAGCTGCCGCCGCTGCCCCCGCTGCCCCCGAGCGCGGGCGGGGGTCCCGCGGCGGGGGGGGCGCGGGGGGTGTTTCCCAGCCCCATGTTGGGGAGCTGCAGACGTGGGTTCCCCCCCACACCTGTGTCCCTTCCCATGCTGAGGGGGGGCTGCACATCTCGGACCCCCCCCACACCTGTCCCCCCATGTTGGGGAGGCTGCAGACGTGGGTTCCCCCCACACCTGTGTCCCTTCCCATGGTGGGGGGGGGCTGCAAACCCCGGACCCCCCCACACCTGTCCCCCCCATGTTGGGGAGCTGCAGACGTGGGTTCCCCCCACACCTGTGCCCCTTCCCGCAGAGCCGCCACGCACCTGCGTCCCCTCCCAGGTGAGCACCGCCCCCCGTCCTTGGGCCGGGCTATAACCTCCCCCCGAGCCCCCGGCCCGGCCCGGGAGTGACAGCGATGGCGTGGGCGCTGCTGGTGACGCTGCTGGCGGCCGCGCTCGGCCGCGTTTCGGAGGCGCAGTGCCCCGCGCCCGCCGAGCTGCGCCCCGCCAACGGCACGCGGCTGTGCGCGCTGCTCTACGCCGACAACAGCCCCTACTACGAGCAGTGCTGCGCCGGCGAGGCGCTGCCGGTGCCGCCGGGCAGCGACGTGCCCTACATGCCGCGCGGCTGGGCCGGCCGCGTCTCCTCGCTCGTGGTGGGCGCCCGGTGCGAGCTGACCGTGTGGTCGCGCAGGGCCAAGAAGGGCAGCACGCGGCGCTTCGGCGCCGGCGCGGTGCCGCGGCTGCAGGAGGTGCGGCGCGGGCTCTTCGGCGACTGGAACGACGCCATCCGCGCCTTCTACTGCACCTGCAAGTGAGCGGCGGCGCGGGGCGGCGGCACGGGGGGCACGGCGGGCAGCGGGAGGTGCCGGCGTGGGTCAGGATGTGCCGGCGCGGGTCAGGATGTGCCAGCGTGGGTCAGGATGTGCCAACGTGGGTCAGGATGTGCCAACGTGGGCCAGCCTGAGCCAGCGTGGGCCCAACCACCCCCGCGTTGGCCGAGAGGCGCTGCTGTGAGCCAAGACGAGCCGACACAAACCAGCGCCGCAACGCGAGCCAGCCCTGGCCAAGATTCACCATCAGGTGCCGACCCAGGCCAAGCCAAGCCAAGCCAAGCCAAGCCAAGCCCGGCCAACGCGAGCCAAGCCGGGCCAAGGCAGTGCAAGACCCTGCGTGCCCCGTGGGCCGACACGGCCGTGCCCCCTGCCCCCCGTGCAGCCAATAAAGCCCTGAGGCAGCAGCAGCTCCTGCCTGGGGGGTCCTTTATTGGGGGGGGGTGTCCCCATGTCCCCCCTACCCCCTGGGCACGTGCCCCCCGCCCCCCAAAGAACCACACGGCACACGGCGGGTCCAAAAGGACACGAGTAAACT